CCTATCTTCCTTCAGTTCTTTGATTTCTTTGTTTGTGTGTTCTTTAAATTCACTGAATTCTTTTATCATGTTTATAATTGCTCTTTTGAGTTCCATGTCCTGCATTATCTCTAGAGGGTTCTCATTGTACTTCTCTAGAGGACTATTGGTATTTGGTGGGGATACATTATTTTGATTTTTCATGTTATTTTTTTTTTTTTTCCTCTGTGATTTTGACCTGTGAATTTCTTTTGTAGTTTTTGATACTTGTGTGAGACTCAAGCCTTCAGACTTCTTTTATAATGTTTATAATTGTTCTTTTGACTTCCATGTCCTGCATTATCTCTAGGGGTTCTCATTGTACTTCTCTAGAGGACTATTGGTATTTGGTGGGGATACATTATTTTGATTTTTCATGTTATTTTTTTTTTTTTTCCTCTGTGATTTTGACCTGTGAATTTCTTTTGTAGTTTCTGATACTTGTGTGAGACTCAAGCCTTCAAGTGTAGGTCTGCTTCTCTTTGTAAACTTTGTGTGTCTTTGTGGTTTACTTTTTGGGCATGAAACCTGGTTCCTTTAAGCTTCCGGTTCCCTCTTTTGATTTTGTATTGGAGTGGCCAGATTACTTTTGTCTTCAGGAGTTCCCACAGACGCCCAAGTCAGATGAGAGTCAGATGCTCTCAGGCTTTCTCCTAAGGTCTGGATCCCTCCAGGAAAGATTTTGGCCTCAGAAATTTGGGGGTTGGACTGGCCTGGGAACCGGTCCCAGGAAAGATGCTGGTCTAGGGCAGCTGTTTGCCATGCCACCCCAAGATGCAAAGGAAGATGGGGACAGGAGGAGGACCCAGAGGCTCCTGGGGACTGCACTGAGTAACTGGGTTGTCTGGATGCAAAGGATCAGGAAGTGCTGGAGGTCAGCCCTGGAGTCCAGGAAAGAGGCCGGTGGGTTGTCCAGGCCCAGGGAAGTAGAGGGAAGTGAGGGTGGGGCCAGGCCCAGAGTTCTCCTGGGGACTGGAGAAGGAACTGGGTTGGTCTGGATACAAAGGATCAGGAAGCAGTGGGTGCTGGGAACTGAACCCAGGTCCTCTGCAAGAGCACCCGATTCTCTTAACCACTGAGCCATCTCTGCAGTCCACAAATGTATAATTATGCAGTAGAAAATTACCAGTTAAAAAAATGAAATGCTGATACATACTGTAACATGGATGAATTTGAAAGTTTATGCTAAAACAAAAGCTAGTACCTAAGCATGATTCTGTTTATATGAAAAAAATCAAAATAGATAAATGTTTAGAGACAGAAGCTTAATATGGAAAGAGAATGTATATGACTGCGAGTACAGATTTCTTTTGGGAAAATGAACATTTTTTAAAACTACTGGTGATAGTTATACAAGTCTGTATATATACTAACTGTGTGAATATTGACTGTTAAATTCATGAACTATATTAGTATGTGCATTATATTTTAGTAAAGATGCTTCAAAAATTTCATATGAATATTGTCTTTTTTAACTATTAGCTTTCTTTTGACTCAGCATTGTAAGCCCAAAGAAGCCATTATGCCTTGAGAGTTATACATATTTGTATATTTAATTTTGTATGTCTCATTTTCATATTCTGCTGTTTAAGTTTACTATATTTTGCTCATTAGTTTCCTTTTGTTGTTGAGAACAATGCTTCAGTGAACAGTTTAATGCATATTTCCTGATCTGGTAAGATGGCTTAGTGGGTAAAGGCACTTAACTCTAAGCTTGAGGACCTGGATTGGATCCCCAGGACTCATATAGTGGAAGGAAAACCAACTTCCTCTGACCTCCAGATATGCACCATGTCAGGTATACACACACACACATACACAATCACAAACACACAGACACAAAATGTAAAATAAAAGAAGGAAGGTAATGCATATGCATATTTCCCCTTGTATGAAGAGTCTTTCAACTTTTTTTTTTTTTGGTTTATTTAAGACAGATTCTCCCTGTAGCCCTAGTTGGCCTAGAACTCCCAATGTAGTCCAGGCTGACTTCAATTTTATAGAGCTCCACCTGCCCCTGCTTCCTGAGCGCTGGGATTAAAGATGTGTGCCACCATGTGCTGCATGAAGATGTATTTTTAAATTTTCAAATTGGAGTTGGTGATATTGTTGATAATTTATAACTTTGGAAGACATTTTGTCTTCCAAACATTTAATTAATTTATTTCATCATATAATACAATTTTAAATTTAAGTTAAGCTGGGCCTAGTAGTTCATGCCTGTCATCCCAGCACTCTGGAGACTAAGGTAGGCTAGCCAAAAAACAGCAATAGCAGCAACTAAAAACCCTGAAGATAAATAAATAAAAATAAAATTGAAGTTAGCAAAAATATATTTTTAAAAAATTCATCCATAGTTCTTTTATGGTATCTTAGTGTTTTGCTAGTTTTTGTATATGTTATATATTTTCCAGAAAAGGTCACGAATGAATACAATACCACAGAAGATTGGAGTCTTATTATGGACATATGTGACAAGGTTGGAAGCACTCCGAATGGGTAAGGTGCTCAATGAATAGGAGCCTGATAAAACCTGTTTCTTCATAATGTAAATTTGAAAAGAACTTGATATGCTAATTTTAAAAAATATTTTATTTATTATTTTTATTTTATTTGTATTCGTGTATTGCCTGCATGTAGGTAAGTGCACCCGTGTCATGTAATGCCCAAGGACATCAGAAGAAGCTGTTGGATCTGGACAGCTGTTAGCTGCCATGTGGCTGCTGGGATTCGAACACAGATCTTCTGCAAGAACAACTAGTGTTCTTAAGTGCTGAACCATCTCTCCAACCCTGATATGCTAGTTTTAACTAAAGGGTTCGTTTAAATTGTCATGTGAACTATTTAAGTAAACTGTTCAGTTTTGAGAGATAGAAGTAAAGAGATCTAGTAGGCCAGATTTATATTAACCTTATCCTGAAAGACAAATGGAAAAATGTTCAACTGAAAACCTGAGCTATATTAACACAGATAATTAAGGCACATCAGGGCTGCATATGAGCTGTGACCCATTAGTTATTTGGGAATTTCCCTGTGACATAGACATGTAGGAGACTAAGTATAATAGGGAGCATAAAAAAGTGAATGGCAAAAGAGTGCTTCTGAGGAGGGTACAGCCTATTAAGCTGCACCTATTTCCTCTGGAGCGTGAGAGGGTGCTGTACAGTTGTGTGAGCATTTCATAGATCATCCACATGTCTTAAGATTATATATCATCTTAGCTCTCTTCAAGGTAAGAATTTGCTGTTGGGAAAGCTAAATCTCTTCAAGAAAACAAGAGAATTTGTATGTATAGTTCTGTGTGTTGATTGACTTTTTGTGAAATATTTCTCTTGATATTGGAATGTGCATTTTTGCCAATTTTTTAAAAAGCTGTTTACATCTATAAATCAGAGTTTCTGGAATTTTATTTCTAAAGCGTTTGGTAAGGAAATGTCTTGTAATTTTAGTGCTTGAATTGAAAGTCTCGAAAATGATTATCTTTTTTTAGAGCAAAAGATTGCCTCAAAGCCATAATGAAAAGGGTAAATCATAAGGTTCCTCATGTTGCTCTGCAGGCATTAACTGTGAGTAAAAGTCTTGTCATTTGACCCAAGTTAAAATGTATTCATTTCAGTAATTCTAAGATACCATTTCAATATTTATATATTCATTTTTATTTAATTAATAGCTTCTTGGGGCTTGTGTGGCAAACTGTGGAAAGATATTTCATTTAGAAGTATGTTCCCGTGATTTTGCAACAGAAGTACGTGCTGTGATAAAAAATAAGGTAAGTTTCAAAAAGAAAAGAAATTTAAGTCATTGAAAAATGTGTATTGTATATCATTTTGATTATATGTAATAAGGTTCTATTATAAGTGAAACCATTTTTAAATAAGTTAAAATTTCTTGTTTTAAAATTTGATTGTTTACATTTATAGCATTTCAAATTCTTTTCTTCCCAGAGTGCATGTGTGTGTATGTGCATGTATGTATATACACACACATTATTCATTACTGCATATTATATATAATTATACATATGTATATGTTAGTAGTAAGAACTCATCTTGGTTGAGGTCAGTCACTGATTGAACCATTTTATATATACTACCTTGTTTATTCTTAACCACCCTTAAAGTTTAACTTTTCCAAGTTTATACAGTCAGTAAATGGCATAATTGAGATTCAGATCCAGGTGTCTATGACTCGATTCCAGACTTTAACCCCCATTCTATACTGATTCCCACTAACGTTGGTGAACAAAATAGCTTTTATTTTAGAGCAGAGTTGGGGAGGGCTCTCCTTTCTTTGAGATGGAAACTGAGTAGCGTTCTCATGCTGTTAATATCAAGTTGTTAACAAAATCTTAATCTAACATTGAGAATATATATGGTCTTTTTGAGACAGGGTCTCCCTGTAGCCCCAGCTGTCCTGGAACTCACTATGTAGATCAGGCTGGCCTTGAACTCACAGAGATCTGCCTGCCTCTGCCTCCCAAGTGCTGGGACTAAAGGTGTGCACCACCACGCCCGGCTCATACTGAGAATATTAAGAAACAGAGCAAATAACCTTTGGGTATAAAAGATTTGTAGTCATTTTAGCAAGAATGATCCAAAAGGGTGATTTTTTGCATGAAGCAGCTCTCTCTTAATTTGTGAATGAGCATCTGTCAAGTACTCAGACTAGGGTTACTGGACTTTTATTGATGTTCATATAATTAAAGAGAATTCTATTGGTAATTTTCTTTGTTTACAAATTTAAACATTGTTTTAAATTTATTTAGTGTGCGCACATGTGTGTGTGTGTGCGCGCGCGTGTGTTCACATGCCATGGTGCATTTGTGGAGGTTAGAGGAGGACAGCTTGCAGGAGTTGGTTCTCCTCCAACATGGGGTTATGGAGATCAAGCTCAGGTTGTCAAGCTTGGTGGCAAGCACTTGTAGCCGCTGAACCATCTTGCCAGTCCTGTTAATGAATTTTAAGTACTTATTTTAACTCTACTTTTTTTGTTCCTTTGTCTTGCATTTTCCTTATAAGGCTCATCCAAAAGTATGTGAAAAGCTGAAATCTTTAATGGTGGAATGGTCAGAAGAATTTCAGAAGGATCCCCAATTTAGTCTAATATCTGCAACTATTAAATCTATGAAAGAAGAAGGAGTTACTTTTCCTTCAGCAGGCTTTCAGGTGAGAGATTCATTCAGACCATGGATGGCCCTCTACTGTTTGAAGGCATGTATCTTACCTAAAAGCTGGTGAGAGATGTCTTTTTTTTAAATTACATTTTTACTCTGTGTGTGTGTGTGTGTGTGTGTGTGTGTGTGTGTGTGTGTGTGTGTGCTGCGCACAATAATGGAGGTCAGAGACAACTTGTAGGCGTCAGTTCTCTTCTACCATGTGGGTCCCAGGGATTGAACTCAGGTTGTCACGCTTGGCACAGGCACCTTTACCTGTTGAGCCATCTTCTCAGCCCTGGCAAGGAATGTCTTGATCATCATTTCCCACCTGTATCCCTTGAGTGCCTATCTAATATAGTGCCTTAATTTATTTGTTTTTTGTTTGTTTATTTATTTATTTTTAGTCTTTTTGAGACAGGATCTCTCTGTAGTCCCGGCTAGCTTGGAACTCACTATGTAGCAGACCAGGCTGGTCTCGAACTCACAGAAATCCACCTGTCTCTGCCTCCTGAGTGCTGGGACTAAAGGCATGCACCACCACGCCCAGCCTTGTAGTGCCTTAATTTAGTAGACATTCTAATTGTTAAGCACATTTCATCTATGTACCAGAAATTTAAAAAGTAAATGAGATACAAATAATGTATCTAATATTACTCTGAAGTCTGGAATCATAGAAAAGGCTTAGACTGTCCAAGATGGCCCTACATTTTAAGAAATGTATGGTAGGCAACTGGCAAGATGGCTCAATGGGTAAAGGTACTTGCTGCACAAACCTGACAACCTGAGTTTGATTCCCACAACCTACATAAAGGTGAAAGGAAGAACTAACTCCACAAAGTTGTCTCATTCTCTTACCTCTGCATACATGTTCCCCCAACATATACACTGACAATAATTAATTGTTTTAAAAGAAAAATTTATGGTAAATTTTAAAGATGGTCACAGATAGAAAAACAGATGGCTAATTTAAATTGTAAGTGACAGGTAAGGGATGATGGCTAAAAGACTAGGTGCTGTCTGTCTTAGTACAAAGAAGAAAGAGGAAGCTATGAATTGACAAGGGAAGAAAGTAAAGAGGGAGAATTTTGGGATTCAGATGTATTGTTAGGGAGACTAGAATGAAGAGAGAGATGATGGCAGGGAAGAGAAATGGTGACGTGAACAAATTCTTGGAATTGAAAATTGCTTGTTTAACACTGAATATGCTGAAGGTGTATGTTGTACATATGCAGTGGGTTAGAATTGTAAGTGTAGAAATTTAATGGAAACTTGAAGGTAGTTTTAGTAGGATGGGAGGGGGAGGGATACAATAGACTTATAAGTAATGAAGAACAACTGATCTGTCCTTTCTAAATGTCATTCCCAAAAATCTGTGTTAAAGAACTACTTGATGGTCAGAGTCTGGGACACCCACCTTATGTGTCATTGAATTCAAGCATGCCATCAGCCACAATGAGCAGGACTTGAGATGCATCCCTAGAACCTCTGCTGGGCCTGTCCTCTCTTCTCTCCCCTTCAGCTGGCATGGTTTTGGCTGGTACTTCTCCTGTAACTCTATACTGATAGCAGTAAGAAACCTTCCACAGTTGAGAACAGGAAGTGTGTACAGGAAAGGCACATTATTCACTCTATAAATATTTTAGTACTTTCTGTATGCCAAGTTCTATGTCAGATAGTTAAATTTATGCAGAATGTAAGGCAGTTTATGCCCCTTGTGCATTTATAATGTTTTCTTGAAATTGCTGATGTTTTGTTTTAGTATTTGAATACAACTACTTAAATTATAAAGAACCTCACTTTTAAATGGAATCAAGTTATCAGTATTTTTAAAATTAGCATCCTCACGTAATTATAGAGCTTGTGTTTTCTTTGAAAGGGTAGTTGTGCTCATTTTACTCATGCATCTACAGACTGTCTCAGCTGCTGCCAGGAATGGTACATCATTGAACAAAAACAAAGAAGATGAAGACATAGCTAAAGGTGAATGATCAAGCATGTATAATTTAGTATTGCTTAAAATATCCTCACCAGAAAATTTTATTGATGGAAAAATGTAATGAAATGAGATGTTTTTACCTCAAATCTAAAAGCTAATTTTTACCTCAAATCTAAAAGCCAGTGGCATCTTAAGAGTCAGGAAAACAGGGCCAAGCATGATGGCACACGCCTTTAGTCCCAGCACTGGGGAGGCAGAGGCAGGCGGATCTCTGTGAGTTCAAGGCCAGCCTGGTCTACGTAGTGAGTTCCAGAACAGCTGGAGCTACAGGGAGACCCTGTCTCAAAAAGACAAAAAAAAAGTCAGGAAAACAAATGACATGATATAAGATGATCTTAATTCATTTTCTTTTTCAATAATATATATTTCTTGTTCTACCTTAGGAGAGATTGTATTTCACCTTTTCTTAATGCCAGAGTTATGAGTCAAGCACAGAAATATGTTCATCGTTTGTCCTATATGGAAAGCTACCCGTATTATAATGTCACAATCTGTTTGCTATAAAAATAATAGCCTCTGTATATTACAGACTGTGATAATATGGAATGAGCAAAAACTTCATTTTTAAAAATAAATTTAAAAAAAATGTCATATGTCCCTACCCCTCCTGAATTTAAACATCTATCATTTATTTAGACAAATAAAGTACTTACTTGAGTCAGGCTAGCTGGCATACACCTAAAATCTCAGCACATAAGAGGTAGAGAAGGAGATTCAGGAGTTCAAGGTCATCTTTGACAACATAGGGAGTTCAAGACCAGCCTAGGCTACAAATGAAACCCTATCTGGAAAAAGAAAATGCATACTTGATTTATTGTTATATACAACATTATTATATAATATTTCTTTTAAATTTTTTTAGACATATTAATAATGGGTATCTTTACATTTTATTTTTCAATCTAGCTATTGAATTATCATTGCAAGAGCAGAAACAGCAACACATAGAGACAAAATCTTTATATCCATCTGCAGAAATTCAGTTAAATAATAAGGCTGTACGGAAAGTGAGAGCCCTGTATGACTTTGAAGCTGCTGAGGACAATGAACTCACCTTTAAACAGGGTGAAATTGTTATAGTTCTGGATGACAGGTATGTCTCACAACTTTATGTATAGAATTCTGAAAAACGGTAAAGTATCGTCTACTGAAAAACGTGAATATTCGGTTATTTTTACTTTTTGACAAATAATACAGTCTTTTCATGTCTTAATTATTTTTTCTTAAAAGTTAGAGAATGAGTTTCTTATTCTTTTAAATTTAATAGCAAAGTATCCTTTATGTCTTGCATGAAAGATGTATTAAGTAATATTGTTTATCACAGTTGCATAATGCATAAATATCAGTCATCTGATTGCAGTTACCTTGAGCATTGTGTGTACCTTAACTTACTACTTACCTCATGATTTTTTTAATCATTTGAAGTTGTAAGAAAAAAAAAAAAAAAAAGGTTGGTCTGTGTTCAGCCCTGAGAGTTCTTTATTTTACTTTTTTTTAGACAGGCTCTTACTGTGTGGCCCAGGCTGGCCTCTCACTTATGATCCTCCTGCCTAAGCCTCCCAAATGCTGAGATTACACAGGACTGAGATTTCAGCATGAGCTTTATCCTTCTAAAGTGCATTTATTTATTTATTTATTCATGTATTGATTGATTGATTGATTGATTGATTGATTGTGTGCGACCATCTGTGTACCACTGCTTGTGTGGAAGCCAGAAGACAATTTGGGAAGTTGGTTCTTTGCTTCCACCACGTAGGCTCTGGGGATTGAACTCAAATTGTCAGGCGTGGCAGCAAGTGCCTTAAGCACTGAGCCATCTTGCTGGCCGCAATCTAGTATATTTTTAAATGGCTAGATACATAATGATTTTGCTTTCCTGCTGAAAATATTTATAGAGAAAATGTTATGTAATAGACTCTATTTATAATAAAAAATGAATGAGGGCACACTTCTGTTTTTATGAAGCCTAAATAAAGTAAGGGAGTTAAAATTACTATATAGACACTTATATAGAAGGCAGAGCATGGTGAATATTATAAAAGGCTCAGTTCACACGTGCAGACATCTGGGAAAGGAGACTTACTCTGGCACTTGATTTCAGATGAATCTTGATGGAGGCTTTGTCTGTTTTATCCAGTTTCTTAGCACTAGAGATTGAACTCTGACTTCACCTTTCAGAGTAGCACTTCATCACTGAGCTATGTCCCCAGTACTTGAATTGATTTTGAATAGATAGAACAAATTTTGTAAGATACTGAAAACAGGAAAAGGAGGTCTCTTTGGAAGCCAAACTAGCACTGTATTCACTAAGAAAAAAACCTTTGTTTTCCCTGTAAAATTTTCTTTTCAGAACTAATCATTTAACCTGAGGCACATAATCCCTAGAGGAAAATAGTAGAAAGGTAGAGAGCTGGGGTTCCCATCTGTTCAGTCTGAGGTATCTGGCTTGTATGTCCTAAGTTTGAGTGACTTTATTTTGTACTTTGGGTGCTCCAGACCTAGAGCATTAGTCTTATATAATACTTTTTTTAAAAAGTAAATTGTTGCTCCCACGTTGACAGGTACTTCAGTAAGTTTGTACTACCTGCTGATGTACTACCTAGATGACATCTCCATTCTCTTGTTCTGTTGTAACTGCTGTAAATCTTTCATATGCTATCTAGTGACAAGAATCTTTCATTAAATATCCAGTGTTATTTGCCTTTTGTGTGGCTTTATATACTGTTGTATTCCACTGGTCTACCATGTCTTTCATAAACTCATTAAATAATTAAGACCCATATAAAACTTTTCAGTTGAGACCAATGCAAAAAGAACTGTTTGTAATTGCTCAGAGAATTCAGCCTGAGTATGAAGGAACATGTGGGCCAATTGCTGTTATTTTTTAAATAAGACATTCCACTCTTATAGTTGCAATAGACATAGCACAGCTAGATGTTGTCAGTGTATGTAACTGGGGAGTGGCAAGATTTTAAACACTGATACAAACTTGGTTGCTAGAGTTAAGTTGAAATCTTAGGTTAAAAGGAAATCATGTCATCAGGCATGGTAATACATGCCTGACTATAATTTTAGCACTTAGGAGGCTGAGGCTGGAAGGTCATGAGTTTGAGACTAGGCTGGGCTACAC